GGCTGATACAGTATCTAAAATTTATTTGCTGTGTCTAGTATACCTTGTTTGGAAAACCTAGAAGAAACTCTCATGGGGGTTGGAGGGTAAAAAGGGCAAAGACAGGGCTTAGGATGCAGCATGGGCCCAGAACATAAGTCCTGGGCCAGATAATCAGCTCTGCTATGTGAGATCTATAATTGAACATTGAAGATGCAACCAGGTTCTATGGGCATCCAACTTAGCTCCCATTTTTGGCTTTCACTACTCTTTCAGAAGGGAGTTTAGGCTAGATCAAATGATATTCTTTGTAACACAGACAGACACAGAAAAGGAACCCAGCATCACTATCGGAACAAAGGGCTATAACAAGGAACTCTCGAAACAGACAGCACATCTATTCTCCAAGCTGTGAGCTGCTGACAGCCTGCAGGTGGACTGTAACTTTGGATCTACTGATGGACTTGCAGCAGGAATGAGGATAAGGAGGGAAGGTGGTAGTCCATGCCCCCTCACCCCTGGTATCGTACACAAAACTGTATTTGTGGGCCAGGGATGTAGATCAGTGGTGAAGTGCTTGCTTAGCCTACGTGAAGCTTACTTCCCCAGAAGCATACACAAAATATTGTTTGCATGTTTATTTGGAGAAGTCTATAGTTCTCTTCACCTACTCAAAGAAGTTTATGACGTGACTCATAAATGGAGGGAAGCTAAGAAGCATCTCCAGTACCTTGCCTCAGAGCATGCAAATTCATTCTGAATTTCAGGCATGGCATAGGAAAAGAGATCTGAAATCTGCATCAAGATATCTGGGTTCTAGGTACACCCAACCTGGCTTCTTCAGCAAGTAATTTATCCTCTTAAATTAGTGATGGTGAACCTTTCAGTGCTGCAAACAGCCTGCTGTGACATGAATGCCATAGGTTCACCACCACTGTCCTAAATTCTCCCTCTGGAAGATAAAATGAGACAAGGTTTGAGTTCTCTATCAATCCAAGAATAAATAGTTCCATGATGTGTTTTCCCTACAAGAAACCAAAGGGTATATTGCTAGTAATTACCTTTAAAATAATTCTTCTAAAGCCAGACAGACCTTCAGAATGCAGGCTGTAAAGATCACTTACTTGTAATTGAAGCCATTGGACTATATAGTTCTTCTTCTATGGTTTTAGCTTTGAAGATGGAGAACCAGGAGGAACTGAAACCCATTTTCTAGCTGGTTTACAAATCCCAATGCCAATGAGTCACAGGGTGGAATAGCACATGTGGAAATTCATTGGCAACCCAAAGTCCTTTAACTGACTGTGGCAACTACACCTCAAATTCTCTGTCCTTCTGTCTTTATGTGCATATACACACGTCAGTGGTACTGGAACACACACTCAGTAGTTCATTTAATTTTTCGAGCTTCCTCATTATTGCTAATGAGAAAAAAGGGGATTAAAAAGATAAAGGGCCAAGAAGGAAGGGCAAAAGAAAAACCAAAAGCTGATTTCCTGCCTAATTGGATCATTAGGTTTAAGAAAGAATTGCCAATCTTCCTGTGTCTCATTTTAAGTCAATATAAGGGCTTATAAAGCAAACACCCCTGAAGGTCAGAATTGCCCATATAATTTTTCAAGTGTATAAAAGAACCAGACCAAGCCTAAGTGCAAGGGCACATAGAGACAACCCAAGCTTTGTTCAGCTTCATGAGAAAAACAGCATAAAGATATATCAGAATGACTAGAATCACTAGATTAAAAAGACAGCCCATCACAGAACTTTCAGTGTCAGGGAGTTAGTTACTTGAACATTGTGGATAAACTGGTTGGCTATGGCTTGACTTTTATTTGGAAATTGTTCACTGTTGGTGTTAACAGATAAAATAGCACATCCGCCATGAGTGGAGAAGAAGAGGATAGGGAGATAGAAGAGGAAGAGGAGAAGGAAGAGAAGAAGAGAAGAAAAACAAATGGATGTGGGGGAAAGATAATATTCTGTATCGAGGGCAGTATCAGTGCTATGACTGAACTGTGTTCCCTCTCCGTGGTGAAAAATTTGTATGTTGAAGTCTAGCCTCTAGTACCTCCAAATGTGAGTGTACTTGGAGACAGGGACTTCAAAGAGGAGATCAAATTAAAACTAGGCTGTTAGAATGTGCTCTAATCTAGTCTGACAAGTATCCCTATAATAGTAAATTTGGACACAGAAAGAAACACTAGAGGTATTTGTGCACAGAAACATAAACATATAAAGAGGTAACGAGAGGGCTACCATCTACAAGTCAAGATGACAGGGCTCAGAAGAAGTCAATCTGCTAGCATCTTGGTTTTGGGGGATAATATAATACCTCGAATCTGATAAAAGGCCTAAATAAATATCAGCAGACCCTGTGAGACATATATTATTGGTGTAACAATGTTGACTGTATGAAAACTTCACCACTAGCTTCCTTAATAACTTTGGGTAAATGACTGGGCCCTCTGGGGCCTTTCTTCTCATGCTTGTACAATGGGACTCATAAATTCTGCTTATGCTCAATGGATCTACAAGGAGAAGGCTATTTGGTTTCCACTGGGGAAAAGATAGTAGTAGGAATAAAGCTAAAGTAAGCGTGTCTAGCAGAACCATATCCACCTCAACTGATGGCAAAACTGAACAACCAGAGTTGTGGGCTGGAGGCACTCAAAAGTCATTTAAACTGGCTCTTATCCTTCTGAGGAGGTTTTCTGGAATTTGACAGAGGCGCTAAAAAATGGAAAGTGGCTCTCTAGCTGCCTGACAGTCAAACTCCTAAGAAAATCAGAATAATAAAGCAGAGCAATAAGATGGAAGCACATCTATTTCTCTGCCTTAGCAGGTTACCTCCACAGGCAAGGAGTAACTTCTACTCCAACACTGTTACCCTTTCCTGAGCCTTAAGCAACAATGTTGTGGTGTGTGAAAGCAGGCTTTTTAAAAGAAAAGGTATAGATTAATTTTGTATTATTTTTACCATTCTTCGTTATTATCCCCTCTGAAGCCAACGGAGGAGTGCTTCTTGTTTGTTTTGTGGTGCTGGGGATCAAACCCATGGCCTTGTGTATTCTGGGGAAGCACTCTGTTACTGAACTACATCCTGGCTCTCCAGCTTTAATTTTTAATATGTCCCTGGGTGACCTCTATGGAGCACTGCACAAAATCAGTGGCTTTCACTTCTGGCTCCACGACAGAAACACCTGAGGGTACTATTGAAAATGTGACACCCATGTTTCCTCACAGATCACAAACTTAGACTCTCCAAGTGTAGCTTAAGGTATCAGTGTTGTTTTCCCACCAGTTTTTTTACTTCATTTTTAATTGACAAATAATTGTATGTAATTACAGGGAAGACAATGTGATGTATACATTTAAAAGGTATCAAGTGTCGTAGTGTGATGTGTTGATTAGTCTACAATGTGGAACAATGAAATGAAGTTCATTAGGTGATCCTGGAGCATAGTGAGGGTTCAGAATCCATGCTTTAGATCAGTGGTGGTGAACCTATAGCACATGTGCTACAGCGGTCTGTTCGTTACAAGTGAAAAATTAAAAGGTCACTATCACCGCTTTAAATAAATGCTTTCACTTTTAACTTCTACTTGTGTATAACATACATCTAGAAAAGTACAAGTACCACAAGGGTATACTTAAGCAAGTGTGGAGAAGTGATGAATAAATCCTTCAAGAGCAAAGTATGGCTGTGGTTTTAGGATCTGGCTCTGATCCCAACTTTGCCACCTAGAATTTATGCAACTACCCGAGCATGCATTTTTTCCCTTGTAAAATAAGAGGGCATAATATTTGCCTTATTCCTCATATCTATTTTGTGAAAACACCTTTTTTATTTATTTATTTTTTAATTTTTTTTGGTACCTGGGATCGAGCTCGGGTCCTTGCGCTTGCGAGGCAGGCCACCGAACCGCTGAACTAAATCCCTGGCCCTAACACCTTGTTAACTATAAAATGATATCCCCAAAATTATCAAGAGTTAAATTATGATCTTCATATATGAGGCAAATTTGAGTCACGAAAGCAAAAATTCAGGAAAAATTATTTTATGCGTGATTCTTTTCCCTGAAAAAAGTGGCCTGCTAATCCCTGCCTCCTGCATGTAAGAATCTGAGAATACCCTGCATCCCCACACTGTGGCTCCTGCTCCCTTTGAGGACAAGTTATCACCTGACTCCCTACCACAGAAGACTTCTCCCTGCTAGCTTTGGGGTAGGGGTAATTCACATTTCCTGGTGTGTTGGGGTAGATGAGGAAGGAATCTAATTCTTCGCCAAGGGGCCTTTGGCAGAGTGGACAGGCTTTGAGGCTCCCAGAAGATTATTATAGACCAATGTGGCAAAGCCTACATGAGAGGCACTTAGAATATCTGGAAGTCTGTCTAATGGATAGGGCTCCAGCCCCCTTTATACCACATTTTTGCTGGTTTTTCTGGGCCTTGTTGGTCTGTCTCCATTCTGATTTACATACTTAGTGTAGACCCACAGTTCCTCAGAATACTCAAATCCATCAATGTCTACTGCATGTAAGGAGGACTATGTCATAAACAGGGAAGTGTGGAGGGGGTGAAGCGGGGGAAGGGGTATGGGAAAATGAGAACCAAAATCTGTCATGTAAAGGTTCAAAATCCCATAGATGGCCGGGTGTGGTGGTGCACGCCTATAATCCCAGCACTCCGGAGTCTGAGGCAGGAGGATCGCTGTGCATTCGAGACCAGCCTGGGCTACATAGTAAATTCCAGGTCAGTCTCAACTACATAGTGAGATTCTGTTTCAAAAAAAAAAAAAAGATCCTATAGATGAATGTAACTGTCCTGTATACTTTAAAAAGTACCAATAAACTCAATGAAAAAAAAGCAGGACTACATCAAACCTCATCATAAGTATACACACACACACACACAACATATGTGCATATGGGCTGAGAATGAGGACAGCCACTGAATAACAAAATAGTGAGCAAACACTGCTTTGGATGTCGCCAGAACATTTCTAGAAGAAGCTACTTACCAGCCGAGTATTTACCACAGGAAACAGCAGTGCTAGAAGAGCTCCATTCAACATATGCATTTGTAACCTAGGGGGAAAAAAAATCAGGTCAGGTTACATTCAGGCTCTGAAGCAAAGAAGAAAATGTGTTAGGTTAAACCAGGTCATGTGGGAGAGGACTAGGTATACAACTGTTTCTGTGTAAAACAGCCCTAGAGTTTGTGCACATGCAAAATAAATTAAAAACAGTATATTTTATGTTAACTAAAATGCTCTGAAGAGTATCACCACTGCCTCAGAATCCCCCAGATGCTTTATTACATTATACATTATAACGCTTCATTACATCATGAGCTCTATGCTTCCTAAACATTTAGTCAGCTGCAACCATTGGCTTCAACTACTGTGTCATTAGAAAAGGGGAGTTGCAGAAGCTAAATACTCCCTTGTTATAGTAGAACATGGCTACTTGTTTACACAGCCATGGCCAAGACTGTTCCCCAAACAAGAGATCTTAACAGAAAAAGACTGGTGCAAACCAGGGAGCCAATTCCAGTGTTTTGCAAGCTTTTTCCCTACTTTCTTAGAAATGCCTTTAAGAAATGTTGCAGGAAATGGGGAAGGCAAATGTGGCAGCTTTCCAGGTTTGCTTTTGTCTATTTTACATATCGGGCCCTGTATCTTAAAAGCAAAACAGAACAAAACAAAATAAATAAAACAAATAAAAACTGAACAAAGGAAAAAAGGGTGATAAAGAAGTAAACCAACACTGAATAGTGATATTGCTTCCTGGTTCCGATGGCTGACTTTTAAAAATGCAAACCCTTTGTAAGTCAAAAACAATTAACTCAGGAAAAAACCCTACTTGTAAGGGCTCTGAGAAAGAATTTAAGCGTCTCTCTTCATCAATCAAGGCAGATGATCTTTAATCTTGATGAAAAGCTGATTTGATGGGTCATGGACAAATATTTCTTAGTCAATATGCCTCTTAATATAAACTTCCATAACTATGTTTATCTCAGCACAATTCGTAATAGCTAAATCCTGGAAGCAGCCTGTATACCCATCCACAGATGACTGGATAAACAAAGTGTTGTATCTGTATATAATGGAATACTACTTGGCTATAAAAATGACACATTTGAGACATTTATAGGAAAACGGATGCACCTGGAAAATACAATTTTCAGTGAAATAAATCAAACACACAAGCTTAAATATCATATAGAATCTCTCATCTGAATGAGGCAAAGTACAAACAAAATTATAAAAGATGAATAGAAAGAGACAAGGAGACAGATTTCCTTCAACAGGGAAGTGGTCCAAGGAAACAAGGAAAGGGATGGGGGAGGGGAACTGGCAGGAATAGAGATGTGCCATTTACAGGAACCTAATATCTCCAATCAGTGTAAACATTATATGCCATAACATGTGCTAAGACAAATAATAGCAACAAGTACAAAAAAAGAGGATAGGGGAACCAGAGGGGGGGCAAAGGTGAAGGGAAGGGGATTTAAAAAAAAAAGCTGTAACATGTAACCACTCTCAAGATGACTATAAACTGCATGAACTGTAAACATATGCTAATAAAATTTAAAAACAACAAAAAAAGCCTACAAGAAAAAAAAATACCTCCAGACACTACAGACATTAGCTGAATCTCAGTGTCTTGTTGGACTGACCCTCTAGAACTTTGGCTCTTTTCTCAGAATTCACAAAAGCGTTTGCAAGGCTCAGAGACATTACAAGGAGATCCCAGAAAATGGCACAGGAGCCCCAAGACTCCTTTTCAACTCCCCTAGTCTGTTTCTTACTGCTGTTCTTTGTTACCAAAACCTCAGTGACAATGAGAATGTGAACTGAATATATTCCACTGGAGCATCTAATTAATTGCTTTACAGAAACTCTCATTTAATTTTACAGCAACCTTCTCAGATAAGTATGACTTTCTCCATTTCACAGACGAGCAAACCAGGTTCAGAAATGTGAGGTGACCAGGTGAATGGCACATATCAGGTAGTAATAAGGATTGACACCCACATTTTTCTGACTTGACTTCAAACTTTTATATCTTCCTCCACGCCTTGTATCAGAGCCTCCCTCCCTTCCCTGTTGCCTCCCAGATGGCTTCAAGTGGAAAGTCAGGGATGCTGCTTTGTCCTTTCTTTTGGTTTCAGGATCTTTCTCCTCTTTCTGCACTTCCTTCCTAAGGTTTAACATGCTTTCAAGGGATCACTTTAAAGGGAGAAGTCTTTTTGGCCAGAACAGGGCCTTACAGTTGTGCAGGTTAATAGGACTTGGCTTGGCCCATAAAGGAGGAGGTATACCAATATAATGGCCCTCTGGCCACCCTGAGCAGGGGTCTGTAGACAGAAAAATAGAATGGGGGCCTCCTTAGTTCTTAGCTAATCCTGACTAGAAGGAGGTAAAAACAAACTTTTGAAATTCCCACAGGAAGCAAGTCAAGGACAGGAGTAGAGAAAGAGAGACAGAAGAAAAAAAAAAGATAATGGCACCAAAAGACCTTGGGACTTACAACAAGAAACCAGAAAAAGAGCTAACATGAAGGACACAGAGAAAAAGCCAAGGCAGCAACACTAAGCCACACTCACCTCCAATACAACATAGGGGAAGGGGAGGATTAACTTTAAAGCAGTGTATATGCAAAACAATGCACTAACATATATATACATGCATACACACATGTGTATATTCACTCTAGAGTCCCTATATTATTCGATCTAGGATCATTATGGAGGACAAAAGATATTCACATGTCCCCATTACTATCTCTAAGCTAACCATGAATAAGGTACTCCCTTGCCAACTAGCTGCCCACCCCAAAGACAAGATCTTAAAAGGTAGGCCAAGGACAAGTTAACAGACATATAAAAAGAAGCTTCATGTACACCACCCAAGAAATGATGGCAGGAATCACCAAAGGAATGAAGAAATAACCCAGAGAGAGGAAAAAATTTGTCTCTCAGACAAAGGACTAATGTCTAGAACACATAAAGAATCAAAAAAAAAATCAGACCTGACCCAATTTAAAGACCCAATCCAAAAATGGGCATCTGAAATGAATAGATGCGTCTCAGATGAAGAAGTAAAAATGGCAAATAAATATATGAAAAAATGTTCAATGTCACTGGTCATCCAAGAGATGCAAATGAAAACAATGCTGAGATTCCACCTCACTCCAGAAGGAATAGCTAATTATCAAGAAATTAACCAAAAACAAATGCAGGTGGGGTTGTGGAGAGAAAGGAACCCTTCTCCATTGTTGATGAGAGTGCAGCCTGGTGTAAGCACTGTGGAAATCAGTATGGAGATACTTCAAACAACTAGAATTAGAGGTCCCATTTGACTGAACTATTCCCCTGCAGGGTAACTTCCAAAAAGAATTAAAAGAATCATATCACAGCAATATATGTGCACCCATGTTCACAGTGGCACAGCTTATAATAGCTAAAACTTGGCAACAGCCCAATTGCCCATCAACTGGAGACTGGATAGAGAAAATGTGTGTTTTTTTTTAAAAAAATAAAATGGGGTGCTATTCAGTCATAAAGAATGAGAAACTAGAGACATTTATAGCTAACTGGATGCACATTGAGGCCATATTCTTAAGTGAAATAAGTAGGTCACACATGTAAATACTGAATAGTTTCTCTGGTATGAGAAAATGAAAGTGTAAAGAAGGATCAAAATGTATAATAAATAATGTGAAATAGGAAGAAAAAAGAAGTAGAAGTAGAAGGCATAAGGGAAAGTAAAGAAGGGAAAAGAATATGAGAAAATGAAAAAATGGAAACAAAGTCTTTGTAAATAGGGAGGGGCAGAGGGGCTGAAGGGAGGGGATTGGGAGAAAAAGAGGAGTCAAGATATATCATGTACAGGTACAAATTCCACTTGATGAATACGATCGTTATGTATATTTAAGTTGTACCAATAAAATTAATTTTTTTTTTAAATGGCTGGTAGGCAGAGCTCCCTGGAAGCAATCCAATTAGGGGAAGTTCTAGGTGGAGGGGGAACGGTCACTCTATAAAGGCAGCTGGGAACAAAGGACCCACAGGTCCTCCAACTTTCCTGGAAAATATAATGTTAAGTGAAATAAATCAGACACACAAGCTTAAATACTGTATAGTATTGTTTTTTTAAGACAAAGAATACAAATAAAGAGTAAAACAAAGGACTGATAGAAGGAAACAGGAGGTACATCTTTTGCAAATGGGAAGTGGTCCAGGAGAATGAAGGCAAGAGGAGGGGGGAGAGGAGGGGGAAATAAAAAGATTTGAGATGTGTTGTGTACTTGTACCAAATATCAAAAATGAATGTAAACATCATATGTACGTCATACACATGTACTAAAAATAATAATAAGAAGAAGGAGAATGAAAATAGTGAGAGGGGATTTAGATAAGGGACAGAGAGAGGTGGGAATGGGAAAGGGATTAAAAAAGAATCAAGCTGTGTTATATACAAGTACCTAATCCCTAAGATGGATGTAAACTTTACGTACTGTGAACATGTATGAAAGAAAGAAAGAGAAAGAAAGAAAAAGAAAGAACAGTCATTACTATGCCACAAATATTTTCTGTAAGAGTTTTGGCTTTGTATAAGCTACTGTGTTTAGTTGGCTAGTTAGTAAGAATCAACCCTTCATATAAAAAAATGTCAACTGTCACTAAAATGATCTATGGATTCAAAGGATTCCTGATTAAAATTCTATTAGGGTATTTCATAGATATAAATTCACTTTAAAACGTATTTGGAAGGTCAAAGAAAAAGAAATGGATAAAAACAATTTTGAAAAAGAAGAAAACACATGACCCGATTCTAAGTTACAACAGTCAAAACAAGAGAGTATTGGCCAAGGGCCGGGGATTTAGCTCAGTGGTTCCACCGCCTGCCTTGCAAGCACAAGGACCCAAGTTCAATCCCCAGTACCAAAAAAAAAAAAAAGATGGTATTGGCCAAGAATAGATAGATGTATTAGCCAATAAAACAGAATAGTTCAGAATTTGATCCACAATCATATGGCCATTTGATTTTGACAATAGTGCAAATGCTACTGGAACAATT